CACATGTTTCTGTTCTTGATGCTTATGTTGATACTATTTATTTGTTTATGTTATGCTTGCTTTATTTCTACCATTAGGGTTTTGGAGCCTTGCTGTTGCCTCTAAGGCGACGCTCATCGATTTTTCTTACTGCGTTGACCGTTATCGACATTCTCATTCAGTGGAAGACTTCATGTTAGAAAGCAAGTCGTGATTTTTAATGAGGTTCCAAGATTAGCCCTTTTAAACCGAAGCTCTTGATACCTTTTTATAGCTTAACAAAAACCTCCTGTCTAATGACTGATCTTAGAGAGAACACTTGAACAAGTAGTCTAACCCTTTTTTGGGACTAGTTTTAATTTCGTAACCAAGTAAAGAGAGTGTTCTAGAACGACGAGAAAGCTCGAATGTTTGGCTGTGTTGCTTTGCCTTCTTCATTAGCATATTTTGATCACCTCTGGCTTCCACTTTACAAGTTACCTCGTATCATTAAGATTTTCTCCTTCACCTCTTCCCAGATTTTTTGTTCAGAAATACAGGGCACTAATTCATGAAATTTCCGCAGTCGTCCAACCTAGCCGGTGTTTGCTTTACCTAGGGAGCAATTTTAAATTAGCACAGCCCATGTAATCTATATTCCAACGTTGTTTGTTTGAGATTGATGTGCTATATGTGAATTGCTTTTTCCGTCTCTCCTTTTATGTGGCTCATATCACTACTTGAGTAATTCCATACTCTTATCATCTGTTATCCCGTTGCCTAGGCAGGACATTGTGCTATTCGTTAATACCTGGGCAAGATGTCATTTAATATTTTTAGCCCTTATCCTTTGTATCCTATTTATGCTTATATTTAGGGAAATAATCTCTCAACTGCTACTTTCCTCATGATTTAGAGCTCTTCATTTCACTTTCCCTTAGTTTATGACATCCGAACTAATCGGTCACGTTTCTTGCTAAGCGATTTTTCTGTTGAGAACGGTAGTCAAGACAAATACAATTATTTCCCCCGATCTAGGCATAACTTTTTATCTACGAAGAGCATGAATTATTCCCTCTTTTCCTCATCTTTTTTTGCCATTTTTTGCACAGTACGATCACATGAAATCCAAAATAGGATGAACTATTCCTCGTAGCAACGAACTTTAAATATCCTTTATCATTCTACTAGGGCTTTGATGTATGACGTTCTTGTACACCACGGTTTAAAATGATCTCATTTCGGCGTGAGAGTTTGCGACGGAGAGATTTAAGTAGGTTTAATCTGGAAATGGGTTGACCTCGTTGTCGCAAATTGGTCTTGTTTTCAGGGAGACCATGTAGAACGCACCTAGTCCGAATTCGTCTG